TAATCATAGTCATGTATGGTATAGTAGACAAACTAGAGACTAATAATGCTGACTAAATATAACCCTAGCCATGTAGGGTGTAGCGTACAGACTAAAGACTGAAGATAAAGACTGAAGAAGGGACAATCATAACCATGTATTGAATAATGTGCAGACAGAAGACTAAAGAAATAGACTAAAAAAAGATAACTATTGCCATGTATACAATAGAATTCAGACTAAAGACTGAATGTACAGACTAAAGAGAAGATAAACACAGTTATGTATAGTATGGTATTCATACTAGGAACTAAAGATACAAACTAATGAAAAATACCACAGCCATGAATAGTATAGTATTTAGACCAAAGACTGAACGTAGACTCTAGATAACTATAGCCATGTAGAGGATAGTAAACAGACAAAATATGATACAAACTAAAGAAAGAACAACGATTGTCTTATACAGTGTAATCTTTCAAGGGGGGCGGGGGAAGAGTCAGGTGAGAGAGTAAGAGCCTAGCCAATCCAGGGCCAACTAGGTATCTGCCAGCTCTGTTGCGACCCAGCACTGAAACTCACTATCGCTTCGCAAAACAGTTGCGCTAATATTAAAGTCCGAATGTTGGTTACGCCAGGTCTGGGTTCATGTTTCCCAATGTAGAGTTTGTTGAAAAGTTCTATGCCTTCTTCTTTTTTGTTTTTTTGAATGTGCAACAATTGGTGTTTTTTATTGCTTTTACACCCGCACCTTTTTTATGTTTGCTTCTTTATCTTTCAGTTGCGGGATTCTTGAAGATGGGAAGATCGTGTCCAGTTCCACCTCTGCGTTTCCTGTTTTCGGCGCGGATTATGCTTCAACGCAATAAAGTAGACTCGCCGTTTTTCTTGGGCCACCTTTCTACGAGAATAAGTAATGTCTTCAATACCTCGTGTGCTGTTTTATGAAGGCGCATGAACTAATTGCATCCTCCACGGTAAAACAGTGGCTATGGTGCTCAGCAACTGACTCAAAGGTCGCAGGTTTGATCCCCGCCATGGCGGTCGCTTTTCGATTGAGTTGAAATAGTAGAGACCCATTTACTGTGCGATGTGAGTGCACAATGGTCGACTATCTCTCAGAAACATATCGCGGTTCGGGACGTGATACACTAGATAATAATAATAATAATAATAATAATAATAATAATAATAATAATAATAATAATAATAATAATAATAATAATAATAATAATTATAATAATAATAATACTATATTATTATTAAGGAATGATTGCCGGATCAGACAAAAGTTTGGCATGATCACTAAACTGTACAAAAATACCACGTGACATCTCAGACTTATCTGCACTGCATTTCGTTCAGACATAATTAATTCTGCTTTTTGTCTGTTGATTGATCACACACACACACACACACGCGCGCGCGCGTGCATATATATATATATATATATATATATATATATATATATATTGTGATATCCAGAATACAATCTTGCCAGCATTCTCGTATACGAGCACTTGACCGCAGACTTTATCTTGGAAGCCGACTATATCCTATCTCGTGAAGTTCACCTCACCATTGGCCATGTTGGTGTCCAGCACAGGTGCTCGACTCCGGGTATCGCATAGGCTTAAAGATCTCAAGCCGAAAGACCGCAGCCGAAACTGTGTGTAGATACCGAAGCACCTTTTGCAGCATCCCACATACATCAACTGGCTTTACGGCAGTCCCTGGCCGAAGGTGAAAATGTTTCCCTGAAAAATGCCAACACGGAGGCTGTTGACGCGCCTTGAGCAGATGTTGTAAGAGATGAGAAGGAAGAAGTTGCAGGTGATGGCATCCCACTGCTGCCACCAGTTGTTATGGCTCGGAAGGAGGAACGCAGGAGGATACAAAAAACAAAACAGGTTTATGGCACTATTTACACATATTTACAGAAAGAAAGGTCAGTAGTTTCACAAACCGCGAGCGTGGTGGTTGAACCGTTACATGGTTCAGAGCGACGTCCAGCACTCTGCGGCGTCGTTTTAAGCCCTGTCGGGCTCCTCCTCTCCGAGTGGAACACCAATCACACACACACACAACAGGTGACGGAGACGAACATGCACGGTCCACGTGAACGTCCAATTTTGAGTTGTGAACACTGCACGGCAAGGTGGCGCCAGTAGGGCTCTTCCTCGTCACGTGTGTGCCGTTAGTCGAGAGTTCCCACGATCCTGGCAGCATACTTCAAAGGGTCCGCCGCACAGCTCGCCCAATTAGCGGGGCGATCTGCGGTGGCCGCCGCGGTCTCTTCCAGGAAGACGCCGTCCCTGTTGTGTCTTTCGTCCTGGCGTCGCGGCGACACGACGTCTCATCCTCCGGCCAGCAGGGACAATGCCTGGCGGGCATAAGCAGTCGGCCGGTCGGCTACTTGACTGAGGATTAAAGAAGCGCCGCTCCGCCGTCAGCTCTGGCGCCGGTCACGCCAGCTTCCCCGTCGCCCGATGAGTCGCCGAGGCCATTAGTCACCGCTTTTCTCGAAGAGACGACAAAAGGGTCCGCATTTGAAAGACGGGAACTCGCCTTTGCTTGCCGCATGGTCTTGATAATTGCTCAAACCTTCGACAGCGTCTGTCAGACTGGGCGCCAATGGGATTGAGGGCCTCCCCAGTGGACCGGTTTACGCACAATGGCGTCTGCCCAGACGAATTTCCAGGCCAAACTTAACAATGTGACTTGCATCAGCCAGGTCGATGGAGCCAGCATCGGCCATTCCTGTGTCCCCGCGTGCATATCTGCCGACGTCGGCAAGTGTTCTGATCTGATATATCATGTACATACAATCTGGGTGCTGCACGTATCTGCTTGATGTGACTCTCACCGTCATGGGTTCCGCCACTGACTGGTTGGACGGTGAACAGCTCGACCAAACCAGCGAAGTGCCTTTGAAAGTGTTCAATGGTTTTGACGTCGGGCGCAGATCGGGTGAAGTTCACGTTTGCCTACGTGGTGCAGAGCAGCCAGACACTATTATTTATCCTAGTTATCGCAGAAGCAAAGAAAAAGTCAGATCTTTGCCCCAAAGGCGAAGCAATGAATGCGATAGCAACAAATTGGAATGTCACGCGAAGAATGGCAAACAGATCGAAACGTGCCTCGTGTTGCTCACGGGTATAAGCGTCTCAGTTGTTACTTCGCTGTGTCTGAAAAGCGTGCCCTTTTCGCAAACGGAGACCAAAGAATGAGTGCAGTGAACGTTGTGCGCCCAGTAACTACAACAGAATCATTCAGGTGAAAGTCCAAGGCGTACGATTTTCCCCACCATTAAAATTAGTGCGCACGCATGCGTGAGCGTCCACCCTCTTCCCTCTCCACTGAGCAACGCACGCATGGGCTATGAGAGTGCGCACCACCGTGTCGTGATGATCTGCACGGCGACGGGCGCTTATTGCGCCATCTCGCTGGTAATGCTGAAAACACAGTAAAGCCCCCGAGATGGCCGTCACCAGTGGTAAGTGGTAGATATATAAAGGTCGGACGTTCGTTCCCGTGTGCCAGTGTCTTTTTCTGAATTTTTTTCTTCCTTTCGTTTTCATATGTATAGATACGTATATATATATACGATAATTGACGGCGACGCCGTCGCCGACGCCGGCGGAGAAATCCAGCCGAGAGGGTCCATATAATTACAATCGCAATAAAACTGCGTTGACATCAACGTAGACGCTGCTACGTAGAATCATGATCAAACTCCGCAGCTTGTCCGAGCTTTGTACGCATTCTTCGCTGCACAAGTGTTTGCCTGTCTAGAACGCCGACGCGAATGAATAGCAGTGCCCCAAACTGTGCCAGCTTAATTGTCTGCTAAGCATGCTGTAACCGTAATGAGAGAGTCAAGGTCGCCCACTAGAGTGTTATACAGCCCCGCAAGGTGAGTCGCGGCGTTCACGAGAGAGGCCCCACAGACACAGCCAATAGTGCCCGGCAGAGACGGTTTCGGTTGCGATGGCAGCTCAGGGCACAGGGCCTGTCGGCCGACGGCGACCAATGTAACATAGCCAATGTCGGCCGCCGGAGTCTATTTTAAATTTCTTAGCGAACTTCGGTGACCATGAGCGTATCTATCAAGCCACCTAACGACTTTTAGCTCTCCTGGCCATTTCGATAGATAGATAGATAGATAGATAGATAGATAGATAGATAGATAGATAGATAGATAGATAGATAGATAGATAGATAGATAGATAGATAGATAGATAGATAGATAGATAGATAGATAGATAGATTATAGGTAATGGCCAGGTGAATAGTGCTACGAGAGGATCAAGAGCAGCAAGCTTGAGTAGTTTCGGGCACCGACAAGCGTCAACAGTTGGCTGCACCGAAACAAAATGGCAACAGCTTTTCGAAGAGCGGCTCATGTAATCGTGTATCCGTCACGATGGTTAAATGGGTAAAATTCACGACTGCTGACTCGAAGGTCATGGAATTGAATCCCGGCAGTGGCCGCCGCATTTCGGTGCAGTGAAATGCTTTGAGGCCTACGTGAGATTTTAGGTGAACGGTAAAGAACACCAGATAGTCAAAATTTCCAGACCCTCTACAGCGATGCCCCTCAGTATCGTATCTTGTAGCGAAGCCTCCGAACTCTGAAATGGGTCGAACTCTTGCCTTAACAATCTTAGTTTTAGGACGTAAAACACCAGCGATTATATCTTATAGCACTTTTTGGGAGAAATAGTTTGAAGTAGATAACGACATTTTCCACTCCTGCAAGAACCATTTCAGATAGCAGCAGCAGCAGCAGTTACAAAAGCCCCCACGAGAGGGCCACGCTGTCTCCGATTCAATTTCATTTGCGTGTGCTCGTCCTTGACACTGTTCGGACCTGTGGGTGACAAGCAGGTGGCAGCGCTGCGTGCGTTGTTCCAAGGTCAGCAGCCTGTGTTGTCGGCATATTTGTGGGAGCCAAGCTATGAGCAAAAAGGGTCGCGCAAATGTTTAACCTGCAACCATGTGCGCAGCTGGCAGGGATCTCGAAGTGCTATTTGGCCGACAGCGCTGTCTAGGTTTAACAACACATGCTGAATTCGGGCCTCATATTTGTTCTCAAGTGCCACCAGAACACAGTGCCACCAGAACACAGCGACTTCATTCAGTGTAAGTATTTCTCCCTGTCTGAAGACAAACGCAATGATCGCAATTGCTGCATGACACTCAGCGCAGGTTGGTTCACAGTTTTTTGATGATGGCTATCGTTGACTTTCTCGTATCATCTAATCTGTACATTCCTGCAAAACATCTAGCAGCTCCAGTAAAATATCAATGGGTGCGTCTTTAGCCCACTTACCGGGATTTAAGCGTATAAGGAACACTGGACGGGAAAGCAGAGTTGCAAGGCCGGACTTCAACTGGGTCGTGGCTCTGTGAATGCGAGTGTAGAGAACTATTTAAGGTGGAGGTAGAAGTTTGTTTTGCTTCCATTACAGAAAGAAGGAACAAGAGCAGAAGTTGAGCTTTGCTTTTCTGACTTATCACTTTTCTGAAGATGATCGAACTTGTGTGCTTAGAATTCGAAGTTTGCTTTTACTGACGAATCCGCATAGCTTACACGATAAGGATCTTTGTTGACCGACAAACACGCTAACGTTTCCCGCAAGCTTGAAATATTGTTCGATTGTTTATTTCACTATACCGTCAATAAATACAATAAATGTATCTGCTGCTACCAGATAATTACAGAACGTAGAGATCATTTTGAAAGCATCAGCTGTTTTTACAATTAGTACCATGTTTCGCTGTGTTGAAAAACTGCAAATTACGCAGCTTCAGCAATACTGTTAGCCTCATGATGGCTCACGTTTATACTTAATTAAGTTAATTCATATTTACTCCAGTGCACTAGCGTTCATATATGCTAGCTCGATATTCATCGAACAGAGGTGTGAGTTTTGACCCCCCACTTTTTCCCGGGGACTTCACAGAAACGTCTGAATAAAAATGTTCATGAGAGTCATCTCATTCAAGGAAAAAAATCGTTACTGCATTGCGACCACTAATTACTTGTATTTGAAGGTACACTAGATCAAAAGGCATCAAGTAAAGGACCGATCATAAGAGATATTGGTGTCTAAGACCGTTGACACCATGGAGAAAAATTCGGCTAATCCCACGTACCATGAGAATCGATGTTATGCGAAGCTTGCAGATGCAAGGTGAATGTGTATCAATTTTTTTATTGAGTGAGACCTTATGAAGTGGCGCTGAATATATGTACGAATTCACAGACACACACACACACACAACACACACACACACACACACACACACACACACACACACACACACACACACACACACACACACACACACACACACACACACACACACACACACACACACACACGCGTTAAAAGCATGTGTTTATATTAGTAGTTGCAGTTGCGTAACAACACCAACAGCAACATGAGGTATTCAGAACAGCAGAAGCGGTACGTTTATACGAAGCGCTGGTGTCAGCACTGAGCCTCACGAGGATGGTAGCCCCCAGCACTGCTACAAAGATCAGCCTCAGCGGATCGCGCCTTACTAAAATTCACTTTAACCCGGCATGACGGCTTTATCATAGAGGTACATATAATTTTTATAAAGTTTATTAACCAGTACTGCAACCAGAATTGATGTTTCACGAACATCAGGGTCTATTTACAAAGTATTTCCGAGACCTGGCGTGGCTCTGTGGTAGAATGCTTGATTGCCACAGAGTATAGGGTTCGATTCTTGCTGGAATTTATTCTTTACATTGGTCTGGACAACGCTGCCGATGTGAGCTTTTTCTTAACGCTCAAGCGTTAAAATTACCCATGTGTGCTCTCGCCGTTCTTGAATAGATATAAAATGTTTATCCCCTGTGGCACATACCCGCCACCGGGTACGTGTCACTGTTTCTAGGAAAGTGTTTGACGATGTACGCGACGAGATTGCGACTATACTTGTGTAACCAGCGGCTCGTATTCTCACCATCTTACCCTCTCGTATCAATTTCGTTGTACTCCAAGTTAAGTGTGGGGGAGGGGGGTGATGATGAGAGCATCCAGACGTAGGTGGCTAGATAGATAGATAGATAGATAGATAGATAGATAGATAGATAGATAGATAGATAGATAGATAGATAGATAGATAGATAGATAGATAGATAGATGGACGGACGGACGGACGGACGGACGGACGGACGGACGGACGGACGGACGGACGGACGGACGGACGGACAGACAGACAGACAGACAGACAGACAGACAGACAGACAGACAGACGGACAGACAGACAGACAGACAGACAGACAGACGGACAGACAGACAGACGGACAGACAGACAGACGACAGACAGACAGACAGACAGACAGACAGACAGACAGACAGACAGACAGACAGACAGACAGACAGACAGACAGACAGACAGACAGACAGACAGACAGACAGACAGACAGACAGACAGACAGACAGACAGACAGACAGACAGACAGACAGACAGACAGACAGACAGACAGATAGATAGATAGATAGATAGATAGATAGATAGATAGATAGATAGATAGATAGATAGATAGATACCAAAAGTGCTTCCAGTACGCAGAAAAACTTTTCGCTTCTGAAAGCTAATTATACGCTAACGAACTCATGAGGTGACTCAGGCTCACTCAGGCTTGGATCAAGCCGTGCTTATTAGCGTGGGAGAGTCTGAGTAAGTATTATTTTGGTTAGTTTGAGTCTGACTGAGTCCGGCTGTGGACGATATCAGTGAATCTTCGTTTGATCGAGTCCCCTTGAGGAAAGATTCGCGAGTCTTAGTCCAAGTTAACCTTACAGACAAACTACATTTCAGCTCCACATTTTTTGCTGTTTTAGGCGGGGCGCAAGATTATGTATTCCACGTACCAACGGCGCCATCCAGCTTCAGCTGCGACAGCCAGACATTTCTTGAAAGCTGCGGCGAGCATCTGCTTTTGTTGTTGATGGCGGAACAACGATATTTATATGACGATTTCACAAACATTGCACACTACATACTCGAAAAAATACCATCGAGTAACTTACAAGGGTATTTTATGTTTGCTCATAATTGTTTCAGCGAGAGCACATAGCTGGGCCTGTAACATGCCTTGCATGCGTTGTTTTCGCGCTATCTTACATAAGGTTTTTGAACGTCCGATTGCGATGTAGTACGAAACTTGCATTCAGCATGTGGAACGAAGCTAGTGCATCTGCTGGTAAAATGCAATATATTCTTGCGCCTAAACAACACGGCACAGGTGTCTGCGACTTCATGTTACCACGGTTTGGTTTGTATTGTTGCTTAATACGAAAACTGAATGTATTTTTTTGTATTTTTTGTTTTTCACTACAAACGTAGCAGGGAAAATCCGTAGCACAAATTCACCTAAGTGCCTAAATAAATGGGTTAGGAAAAAACACGGTGTCACTGTGTTTGAGTCTTCGTGGTAGGTGTAGTTTTCTTCGATAAAGAGATGTTCTTGTGCGTAATATATTGATCGAGCTGCTTTTTGTTTTGTGGAAGAGGGAAGTTCGAGGCGTAATTACGTGGTGATTAACTGTACCCATGCTTTTCACGTAGTAGTGGAATGGTCGGCATATTTTGCGAGGGGGATCCACTTGCAACCTACAGTTTGTTTCCCCTTCTGCATCTTAACGCAACGTTTGGTATAGTATAGCTAGGTTATATTATCAAGAACTAAAACTGTTATCTAGTTTTTATCACTACAAAACATTACAACATTATTGAAGGAAACTATGGGCGTGTAGCAGAATTTTGCGTAGCATGAGTGCTCAAGCGGCAGAATATTACCGTCATTATGTGGCCCCATTAACCAATAGGAATACAAAAAACTTGCACATGTTGTGTTAGCCTGCCTTGTAGAAACCTCGATGCCCCCAAAATTTTCTATTTGTTGCATGTTTCCAGGAAGCGTTGATCTGAAGACCCGCACGCTGCAATGAAGTTCTCAGTGTTACCAATCGTTCTTTCGCTGGCCAGCTGCGCGAGAAGTGATATTGTGTTTACAAATGAAGGTCCCATCAAGGGCCGTTTCGTGAAAGTACTCGATAATGAGATCAAAGAGTTCCTGGGCATTCCGTACGCTAAACCACCTATTGGGAGCCTGCGCTTCAAGAAACCGCAAGCTGCCGAGCCATGGCACGGAGTGTACGACGCAACACAAGCCAGGGACTCCTGCGTGCAGCCTGTTTACTGGGAAGTTTTTGAAATACCAACGGCGCTTTCCGAGGACTGCCTCTACCTGAACGTCTGGAAACCGTTCTCGTCGACGCGGTATGGGTTTCCCGTCTTATTCTGGGTCCACGGTGGCATGTTTCAAGTTGGTTCGGCTTACGAAGCGAGGTATAACGGCTCCGCCTTGGCAGCGCTCAATAACGTCGTGGTCGTCTCCTGCAATTTTCGCCTTTCTTTACTGAGCTTCATGGACCTGAATCACACAATGACTCCAGGTAACTTGGCCTTGTGGGACCAACGTGCCGCGTTGCAGTGGGTGCAGCGAAACATACGGGCGTTCGGAGGAGACCCCGGTAGTGTCACTGTCTTCGGCGAAAGCTCAGGCGCCATGCTAATTCACGGTCACATTTTGTCGCCACACAGTCGCGGGCTTTTCCACAGGGTTTTCCTGATGAGTGGCTCCATGAGCACTGACAGCTGCGTCAACTCCGTGCCAAAGAGCATCGCTGGCGTGAATAGAATCTCAGAGGCCTTAGGCTGTGGCAGGTACGAAGGAGCTACGGATCCTGCCGAGCTGCTAGATTGCCTCCGGGATCTACCCGCACAAGACATGTGCGCTGTTAAATCGGGGATTTTGCGACCGACATACGAGAACGAGTTCATCCCGTGCCGACCTTCGTTTGCTATGAAAGAAGGATACTTCGAGAACTACGACGCTATGGTGAGTGTCACGGCTAACGAGGGAGCCTTCATCTTCAGCATTCATCCGGACGGAGGGGTGCTTAACGATGATTTGAGTTCTTATGATTTGAAAGTGCTCAAAGATTCACTCAAACTTCCTTTTGATCCCCTTTGTTACGAACGTACACTCTTCTCCTGCCATCACCTACATTGACAGCATTCACTTTGAAAACAAAGATGCGCTGAGGAACACTATTGCAGACATTCTGGGTGACCGACTATTCTACTGCCCCTCAAGAGCCTTCGCAGAACAGTATTCTTCCAAGGGAAACAATGTATACGCAGTCGTTTTTGGACACCGTTCTGAAAAATCACGGCTGCCAAAGTGGTTTGGCGCGACGCATCTGCAAGAAGTGGAGTTCGTGTTTGGTATTCCATTCTTGAACGAGTTGAACTACACTGACAAGGACAGGGAGTTTAGCACGACCGTTATGGAAATGCTGGCATCATTCGCTCGGTCTGGGTATGTTTGTCATTTTCACTTCTTCTAGCTCTCTCAACTGGTTAAGGTCATCTGAGGGAAACGCACATTAACAGTAATCGTGTAAAAAACCGTAACCTTTGGCATGGCTTGCAGAAAAGTGAGCCTAACCGAGTAGTATAGTTCGCATTTAGAAAGCCAATTTCTTAATGTCAGATTTTTGAAGTCCCGAGTTCTCATGTTGTCGGAATATGAAAAGGGCCTACTGTATAAGGCGCAACTATGTGCCATGTTTTCCCAATTCCATGTCTAAAATTCTCTTAATGGAGAGGAATTTCAAAGGTTTATAGAAAGTGTTGTGTGTCATTGCATTTGAAGGTAAGTGTTTTATTGTAATACAAGTGAGGCCACGTACACACACTTACACATGGTGTGTCCCGTTTACCTTGTTATCATTGCGCTTTATAAGTACCAACTAAAAACTTGGCAAGTGCGAAGGGGGCAAAGCCGGCTGACGCGTGGAATGAGCACGCAGGTAGAGTTCCATGCCAATTCGCAAATATACACTCAGTGACAGTGATGAAGTGTACAAAATTGTGTCTTTTTCACAGGAGACCTACGCTTCCTAACGGCGAGGAATTGCCTAAGTTCGCACCCGAGCATCCGGACTTTATGTGGCTCGAGGCGGGAAATTACACCGTCGTCGAAGACTTCGCCGCAGCTGCCTGCGAAATGTGGAAACACTCATTCTGAAACTCTTTTAGAGCACGTATGGCCAAGACCTCTGACGGCTCGTTGTGATAAGTTCTTAAGAAAGCAAGCAAGGGTGTGCAAATGGTAGGCACTAGTGCATAAAGCCGTGAACATGCTGTTTTTCTACGAGTTTTGCACACGCTGTATATGTAGTTGAGTTGCTGCATTTTAAAATCACGGGAACACTGACATGTGCATGTGCACTCAGTCTCGACAGTGCTTGACAGCCTTCATGTCGGTAAAGGTGAACAAGTAAACATGGTCCCGTATGTATGCGAGATGTTCAGCGATACTTGTGTATGCTTCATCATTTATGGCTAAACGAAGTACGCCTTGTACCATCGCTACTGGACCAAGCATTGGAAGATTGGTTTGGTAGTCACGACTGTCAATGTGCCAGCAGTATTGCCTTGCGATGATATTCCAGTTAGGGGACATCCAATGTTCTCTGCGTAATATCTGGGAAGAGATTGGACAACAAACGTCATGCATTTTAATTAATCTGGTGAAGAAATATATGTACGCTATGTCTTGACGCTCAAACGTACCTATGATTGATGTAAGCTGGACTGCCGCATCTCAGTTTAAGCACCGCTCCTTGATTTTTTCTTTCAACTACTCTTGAGGCACGCACTAAAAAGTGGCCCATTTCTTTACCCATTTGCGATGTTGAATGCCAGCCAGCAATGCTCTGAACGACATATGCCACAGTAGTGTATATATAACGTATTTATGTATTATTCTCATAATTATTGAAGTTTCGTTCTTGTATGCATTTATCAAGTGTTGTTTTCCATTTCTGACATGTAACATGCTTCGCCCCTCTGTAATGTGAATACCGTGAGGGTAAATAAATAAACAAATAAATGAATAAATAAATAAATAAATAAATAAATAAATAAATAAGCGTAGAAGGGTGCCTCCATGCGCCACAGTCTTCAAGAAGGAGGCGCTGGCATAGTTGACACTTGCAGCGCGTTCATCAAACACGAAGGTGGTGGTGGTGGTGAAAAACATTTAATTACAGAAAATTGGTTTAGGACTTCTTTCGAGATTTTTACAGATTATTAGCAGTCTCTATTCCGGAACACTATTGGTTGGAGACGCTGTCCTGGATCTCTGGACCTAATGGGCCTAACGGGCCTGAAGGTCCTAGCAGCCGAGCATGGCCGCCACCTAGTCCTCTTGTCTAGGGTTTGTGTGAGGTGTAATGACTACGAAAGCTGTTGATTTGCGTTCATTCTGTTTGTGCTTGAGCAGCAGCAAAGGCTCGATGTTTGCGTACACAGCACGACTATTTCTGCTGTTTTACCAGCGAAATCTTTTCTGTCGATGATAATGAGCTAGATGGTTTTTGGCCAGCCCTTTATCACCTCCGATAAAGCAACGCAACTCTATTCCACAGTCTAGAAACGTCCGCGCAGCGCCAAGCGAAAGTGCTGCCTTAACCGTGTTCAGTGCAGATATCCTTGTTTTTCGAGCAGAATTGTTAGCTCATAAAGCGTTTTATGGAGTTGCGAATAGCTGCCGAAGACCATAGAAATTACCACAAGCAGTCATATATTATTGCACACTAAAAATAGGCTACATCTGTAAAGTCATGTTTTCCTTTGCTGTTATACCAATTTCTGGGGTGAAGGGATCAGCCATCTTTTAGAGGCGAAGCTCCTCAAGGCGGGGGCTTGTCTGCCGTAGTTGTATGTCGTAGTCAACCCGAGTACGCGAAGTATTCACTAGAGGCCACTCGCATCGCTCGCATCGTTCGAGATCTTTGGACAGACAGACAGACAGACAGACAGACAGACAGACAGACGGACGGACGGACGGACGGAGGGCTCACAGTTTACCGATCAAACCCTCCCAAACATCGCCCCACTCATCATAATTTACTCCGCGGATATGCTGTGACTTTTAAAGACCATAGTCTTTCTTGGGAACCTTCGACGTAAAAATTTTGGTCTGTCTGTCTGTCTGTCAGTCCGTTGAGGAGGCTACCTACTACTACGATGACAATGACTACTACTACTACTACTACTACTACTACTACTACTATTATTATTATTATTATTATTATTATTATTATTATTATTATTATTACTACTACTACTGCTGCTGCTGCTACTACTACTACTACTACATACTGTTACGAGCCGCGTCGGTGGTCGCAGCGGACCCAGTAGATAGCATGGAGCTGGGTGGTGGCGTCATTCCGCAGGCCAACGGGATGTTCAGAACTCTAGAGAGCTGAGGCAGAGGGACAGGCGTAAAGGAAAACTTAACAAGACGTTTATTTGCAACATGTTGGACAGTAACGTCCGAACGACGACTCTTCTTGCGACACTCTCCTGTTTTCTTCTGCCGGGCTGCTCCCGCTGCCTCGCCGGGCAGTTCCGAAGATAGGGGTGGAAATGACACTTCGGGGAACCAACCACTCATAGAGAGCACAACACAAGTATCCCTTCACACACGTGGTAGATGAAACGTGGCACACGCGCGGGGACTAGGAAGCGACCACGCAGGAGAAATTCATGGCAGTCGCTCCTGTAGCGCACAACCGGCCTTTCGCACATTCCAGAGGGGCCCGCCCGTAGCCACTGCCCCGCAGGCGAAGCGCACAGGCGAGACAAATACAGATGGGGCAGGTGACAACCCGCACCCCACAAAAGAATGTCCGAGATGACGGGAAGGCACGCTTGAGGGCAGCCGGCCCAAGGACTTCGTTACTGCTTTGTAACAGCTTCTCCGGCGGCTGGCCGAGATCTCGACGTACAAAGGTCATCCACCTTTGTGGGGAGAGGTCGATGAAGACAATGCTGGTGTGCTGAAGCCGTGGACACCTCGATGCGGCTCTGCTGCATTCCTATGCCACCCCCGGTGATCTGGAGCCTCTGGTAGCGTCGTCCAAAATGGGAGAAAGGCTCCCGCTCTGCTGGCCAACATTCCTTCTCGAAAGACAGCACCTGTGTCCAACACGCGAGAAACACAACCGCCAAGCAGGCAAGCGCCCATACTCTCTTCCTGAGACCCACCAGGCTTTTACTTCATCAAAAACGACCTGTTCTTCATTACAATAGCAGCAGCACTTCCAACAACCCAACCTGAAATAGGCTGCTCAAATTCACAAACACGTGTCATGATAAAGCACAAATACAAAAAAAGCAATTGTAAACCGGTCCCACACAAAAAAATGAAACCTAAATACCCAAGCCAGATTACCTGACGCCATCAAGATCCCTAGAAACAACGACTTAAGCCGTCAGCGTTGCCATTCAATTTGCCTCTCTTGTAACGAATTTCGAAAGAGTATTGTTGCAATAGCAAGCTCCAGCGAAGTAGCCGGCCGTTCTTAGGCGACATCGTTTGCAACCACGTGAGGGGACAGTGGTCCGTCTCGATAATAAACTCTGATCCCGCGAGATAGCATGCGAGCTTCTGAACCGCCCATACAACACAGGCGCATTCTTTCTCTGAAGCGCTATAGGCTTCCTCCCTTACAGTTAGTTTGCGGCTTGCATATAGCACGGGATGTTCCTCTGCTGCGTCGCTTCTCTGATACAATACTACGCCCATGCCGCGGTCACTTGCATCGCACTGAACCACAAAGGGTCTAGCGTAGTCAGGGGCTTGAAGTACAGGTTGGCTCATGAGCGCATTTTTCAGCGCTGAGAATGCCCTCGCTTTCTTTTCATCCCACTCCAGAATCTGAGGTTCGGTTTTTCTAAGAGCGTCAGTAAGCGGGCTGGCAAGCTCTGAATAACGGGGAATGTAATGCTGGTAGTACCCTGCCAATCCTAGGAACGACCGCACATCTGTCTTTGTCCGGCGCTGCGTAAAATTATTAACTGCCGCCACTTCGACATCGGAAGGTCTGCGGTGGCCTTGCCCCACTATGTGACCCAGGTAAGTAGCCTCTGCTCGGCCAAGTTGGCACTTCCGAGCCTTCACGGTCAGACCTGCTTCGCGGGAACGTTGAAGCACTGCTCGCAAGTGGGTGAGATGTTCGGGCCATGACCCTGAAAATACTGCTACATCATCCAGATAAGGCAGGGCAAACCCCTCTAAACCCCGCAATACCTTGTCAATGAGAGCCGAGAAACAGTAGGGGGCATTCTTTAAGCCGAAGCTCAACACCTTATGGCGGTATGTTCCTATGGGAGAAATAAACGCCGCATATCTGCTGGCCCTTTCGGTCAAAGGTGCCTGCCAATAACCCCGAACGAGGTCGATGGTAGAGATGTACTTAGCACTGCTTAGTGCCTCAATTCTTTCCTCTATATTTGGTGTGGGGTAGGTCTGATCCTTCGTTATGCGATTTAACGTCCGGTAATCAACGCATGGTCGCGGATCTTTCCCAGGAACCTCCATAATATAAGCGGAGAGGTATAATCGCTTTCGCAAGCTTCAATCACATCGAGCTCGAGCATTCTTTTAATCTCGGTCTCAATAATGGCACGCTGACGCGGCGACACTCGATACGCCTTTGACCGCACGGGCTGAGTGGCCGTAAGCTCTATGTCATGCACTACCGAATTTGTTCGGCCCGGTTTCTCCGAGAACATGTCCTCATATTCTATCAGGAGGCTTTCTAGGTCACGCTTCTCGTTAGCTGTGAGCTCAGCTACCTCAACCATGGCCTTGAGCGTTTGACCAGCGTTATCCTCCTTTCTTTCCGCTCCCGAAAAGGGGAAATCTAGTGGTGGCTCTTCGGGCACGTTTACCGCCATGTTTACGACAACCTCTCTCTCTCGATATTGTTTGAGCAGATTGCTGTGGTAGATCTGCTGCGTCTTACGTCTACCTGGCATCCTTACCAGATAGTTTGTGTCGGACAGCCTTTGAACGACTTCCGCCGGACCTTCCCATTGGACATCTAGCTTATTCATTGGTGAAGGTTTCAGCCGCATTACTTGATCTCCAGCTTCAAACCGGCGTGATCTTGCCGACCTGTCGTAGTAGCGTTTGGCCCGAGCCTGTGCCTTGCTCATCTCATCCCCTGCCAGCTCCTGTGCTCTATGCAACCTTTCTAGCAGAGTTAGCACATATTCAACCACCGTAGGGTCCTCCGCTCGCCCTTCCCATGACTCCCGAAGAATACGGAGTGCGGATCGCAGAGAGCGACCGTAGACCAATTCTGCCGGAGTAAATCCAGTGGCTTCATGAGGTGCAGTCCTGAGCGCAAAGATGGTTGCTGGCAAGCACACATCCCAGTCGACTTTGCGCTCGAAACAGAGTGCTCGAAGGACGCGTTTCATTACCGAGTGTAACTTTTCTACGGGGTTTGACTGGGGGTGATACACCGAGTTGTGGATTAATCGGATTCCACATTTCTCTAAGAAAGTTGTAGTCAGTGCACTCGTAAAAACGGTCCCTTGATCGGACTGTATTTCAGCGGGAAAACCAACGCGTGCGAAAATAGACAACAGCGCGTTTACCACTTCTACCGAGCTCAGTTCTTTAAAGGCACTGCCTCAGGAAACTTGGTCGCGGGACAAATTACTGTTAAGACATGACGGTAACCGGATGTTGTTGTTGGAAGAGGCCCTACTGTGTCGATCACGAGTCGTCGAAAAGGCTCAGTGATCACTGGCACGAGCTTCATTGGGGCACGAACCTTATCCCCTGGTTTTCCTACACGCTGACAGGTGTCGCAGGTTGTGACAAAATTCTCTATTTCCCGGAAACAACCCGGCCAATGGTATTCCTGCAGCAGGCGATCCTTCGTTTTTTTGACCCCCAAGTGACGCGACCATGAGCTACCGTGAGCTAAGTGTAAAAGATCACGGCGGTAACGTTCCGGTACCACTAACTGATCAAACTGCACCCGTCTGCGATCTAGATACTTACGATAAAGTATCCCGGCCCTGTTCTGATACATCACGTTTTTTTTTTGAAATACCCTCATTACTATGACTCCTTATATTTTGAAGAGTGGGGTTTGCTCTTTGCTGCGCTATAAGGGACGATCGATCCACTCCCAGCAAAGTCTGCAGGCTACTAGATGCAAGTGTAATCATTTCCTCACACACACTTCCAGATTCAAGAGGGTCTTCCTCGTTTTCATCCGCGCCTTCATCGCTCACTTGATCAGTGCTTGGTGTGATCGTGTCTACCGTGTTCGTGGGCTCTCCATCTCCGGCTTTCTCGGTGATTCTCGAGGGAACATCGAGCGGTGTGGCTCTAGTTGCGAGTTCTCACGCCTTTGAGCGAGTGAGCGCGCACACAACCCCATCCCCGTACGCTAGGTTCTTCTGTCCTAGTAACCAATCGGATCTGTTTGAAAACAAGTATGCATACTGCTTTGGCAAATAAGCAGATGCTGCAGCCTCTGTGTGCAATGCGCCAAAGGGGCCCTCGATACATACCTTAGCAATCGGAAGGCATACGCTTGATGGTTCCGCTGCTTGTTTAATCCAAGTGCACTCTCCTGTGAAATGATCAGCTTCAACATACGAGGGATGGACGACGTCCATTGTCGCTGCCAAATCCCGCAGCACGCGACACTCTTTTCCATTTACTATCAGCTCTCTGATATATGGCTCCAGCAGTCGCATGTTTTCACCCTCGCTGTCGACTGAGAAGCAAACGACTTTTGGACTCTTGCAGACGGCCGCAATGTGACCTGGCTTGTGGCATTTATAGCACACAAGTGGTCGCCTCTTTTCAAACGCACTGTTTTGGTGCCTTTCCTCAACCGTGGTCTCATTACTTACCTCCCGTTGCTTTTCGGGATCAGTGTTGCGCTCTCGATTCTCTTGGACTGAATGTCCCCTCCACCCAGTTGCCTTTTTGATCTGGCCCTCCCGCTGGGGAATTTCTCTTCTATCAAGCGCGCAGCGCGAAACAAAATCCTCCGCTTGCTCCGCGGCCCTCGACACAGTGGTTACCTCCTCCCTGTCTTGCACCCAGAGCCTAACGTCTTGGGGCAAACGACGGTAAAACTGCTCGAGTCCGAAACACTCCACGATTTTCTCTTTATGCTCGAACGCCTTAGCCTCTTTGAGCCACTCCCTCATATTAGACATTAATTTGTATGCGAAATCAGCATACGACTCGTCTTTCTGCTTTACGGCATTCCGGAACTTCTGCCTGAATGCTTCTGCTCACAATCTATATTTCTTTAGCAGGCTCGACTTAACTTGGTCGTAATCATCTGCTTCCTCTTTTGTCAAGCGGGCAATTACCTCGGCAGCCTCACAGGGTAGTACGGTAAGCAAGCAGTGCGGCCACATCATTTTGGTAACACGCGCCTTCTCGCATGTGCGCTCGAAATTTACCAAGAACAGACCCATGTCCTCTCCGGAGCGGTAAGGTTGCATTAGGTCTTCCATCCTGAACGACTTCCGTTCTACTCCGCTAGACGCTTCGCTACCTTCACTACTACCTCGAGCCTTGAGCAGCTCGATTTCTAGGCGCTTCATCTCAAGATCCCTTTCTGCTGCTTCGCGTATGAGCTTCTCATTTCTCTCTTCAGCTTTGCGCCTTTCATGTTCGTCTATCAGCTCTAGACACTCTGAGAGCTCGTCGTCGTCTGCGTTAAGGTTCTCAATAGCCTCGATAATCTCTGGCTTGCTCATCCAAACCCAAACTTTTAGCTAACTCTAGCAAAAGCGGTTTTTTCAGTGCCTTCATATTCATGGTTGCTACAAGTGCTGCTAACTTCACTACTACTAGGACGCTACGTTCCCATGCACAGGTCAACGTAGAGTAGTTATCCAAATTTACCACCTTTCCTACAAAACTCTAGATAAAGCCTGGAAAAATCTCAGTGAAGAAAAGTCAAGCACTCACCGCACCCTGCAGCCATGATCTCAGCGGAGACGATCCCGATGCTGGCCCGAGTTTGTTGCGACTTGGCGTGAGCAGAATTCCGTCGCTGCCATCCAGTTGTTACGAGCCGCGTCGGTGGCCGCAGCGGACCCAGTAGATAGCATGGAGCTGGGTGGTGGCGTCATTCCGCAGGCCACGGGGACGTTCAGAACTATAGAGAGCTGAGGCAGAGGGACAGGCGTAAAGGAAAACTTAACAAGACGTTTATTGCAACATGTTGGACAGTAACGTCCGAACGACGACTCTTCTCGCGACACTCTCCTGTTTTCTTCTGCCGGGCTGCTCCCGCTGCCTCGCCGGGCAGTTCCGAAGATAGGGGTGGAAATGACACTTCGGGGAACCAACCACTCATAGAGAGCACAACACAAGTATCCCTTCACACACGTGGTAGATGAAACGTGGCACACGCGCGGGGACTAGGAAGCGACCACGCAGGAGAAATTCATGGCAGTCGCTCCTGTAGCGCACAACCGGCCTTTCGCACATTCCAGAGGGGCCCGCCCGTAGCCACTGCCCTGCAGGCGAAGCGCACAGGCGAGACAAATACAGCTGGTGCAGGGGACAACCCGCACCCCACAAAAGAATGTCCGAGATGACGGGAAGGCACGCTTGGGGGCAGCCGGCCCAAGGACTTCGTTACTGATTTGTAACAATACATACATGGCGGATGTGCGACTCACAGCATAGGAAGCTTCGCCCCCCAAAGCAAAGCTTCTCATGGATGATTAGAGAGCGAAGCAGCTTATGGCGATGCTCAATGCGGTGTGCGTATACAACTACCGTTACTGCGCATGCGCAACGGCAAGCCCAAGCGCTGCCAGAACGTGCTCACGTTCGAGCGCGTTCGGGCCTCTGTGAGGCGTAAAGTGTGAAGCAATGTGTGGTATTAGGCTATTTTTGGTATTCTATAACTAAATTGCTGAGCGCGAAAAATTTCCACCATCAACACAAAAGACTCTTGTGTTCCCGTTTCTAGCAGACGTGAACAAAAGGATTGCCCAGCTGCTTATTCATCGTAAGGAGCTGGGTAAGACGTTGTGTCTTCTCCGCCTACACTGTCTCAGCAAACATGTGGTAGCGTCGAATGAGATTTTCAGACGCATTATGAACCCACGTGCTCCCGCGTGGCGTCGCGATGAACCCTCGTGGCGTGCTCCAACAAAAGTTCGGGACGAGCAACAGCAACATAATGTACAGTGAATTCATAGTGTGCTCCACTTACAAGGACGCGTTAACATCTGACAAGGTGCCCGTGATGAACGAAACGCTAAGTCGACTTATGCGCTGCATTGCATGCTGTTCATTGCTGCTCATGGTTACCTTAAGTGGGAGAGGGCGTAAATTTGTTCAAGTGCTGATAGAAATAACGATCGGCTTCGAAATCCTTATCTTATGCCACGCCGTGGTGGTTCGGTGGTTAAGGTGCTCGGCTGCTGACGCACAGGTCGCGGGATCCAATCCCAGCTTCGGCGGCTGCATTTCCGATGGAGGTGGAAATGCTGTAGGCACGTGTGCTGAGATTTGGGCGCACGTTAAAGAAACCTTGCTGGTAAAAATTTCCGGAGACCTCCACTGCGGCGTCTCTCATAACCATATGGTGGTTTTAGGACGTCAAACCCCACATATTATCATCTGCCTCGGAGACCCAATGGTTATGGCCTTCGGTTACTGACCCGGCAGTCACGACTTAGATCACGGCCGCGGCTTTCGCACTGCGGCGAAGTGCTTGAGGGCTGTGTTCTGTATGATGACAGTGTATATTAAAGAATACCAGATGCCACAAATCTTCGGGGCCATCCACTACAGCATGCCCCAAAATGACAACATGGTTATAGCATGTGAAACCTCTGATATTGTCAATATTATTGGTGCACTTGGCTACCCAGTCACGTCGTCACCGTACGTATATGAATGATTAGATCATCCATTACTTCAAGACCACATTATGGCGTCGTCTTTATGAGCCGCATACGAGCGTATCTTGTGCAAGAGACAGACAGTGATACTCCTGACAACGATGATTCCGACAATTCTTTGTCGGTCCTGTAACGCCGGATATCACTTCAATAATCCCGATATGAAGCTTTGCCTTGTCTTTATAACTCTCTCCAAGACACACTCAGCGAGCATACCTGACCTGCGCCTGCGCATCGCCGCACGAACTTATGAGTTTACAAGAAAACCGGAACGGTCAACTACCAGACTATCGACAGTTACTTATGCACGTTCGCGCGAGCGATACATGGCTGGCTTTGGCGCCTGCAACGATGTGCACCTCGTCCGTCGTGCTTTTCCGACCCCGGCGGCGTGGTTAGCCCTGGCATTCCTCGTCGGCTTCCATCAGGACAATGAAGTGGGCGTCGTCGCGGACAATGCCGTCGAAGGCCGCATCGAGTCGCCGTTTACGTGCCAGGGCCGGCCGTACGGCTTCTACGCCGACCCCATGTCCGGATGCCACGGGTTCCACATCTGCAACCCGCAGGTGATTGGCGGCGTGCTGCACTCGCGCATCTACAGTTACCAATGCCGAAAAGACTGGGTGTTCGACCAGCTGCGCTTCGCCTGCGTGCCACCGAACGCCACCAGACCAGATGTCTGTGAGCAAGTCGAGACGTTCTACTACATCAACGAAGCGTTCACCATGCGTACCAAGCTGCTGGAGTCTCGGGTTTCCAAACGACTCTTCAGCTGCGACCGAATCGCGCCTGGAACGTACGCTGACGTGCGTTCGGGATGCAAGTACGAATTTACCATTTCTATTACCTTGCGTCGTATAACCTGTATGTTGTTGTGCACCACGGAGAAAATATGCCGAGATTTTCGAAAATTACCGCACGTTAGATTTCGCGTCATCTGGAGCAGTTGAACACTGACTATAATGTCCTCATACACACAGCATTCACATGAAACAATGTTTAGATGAGCAATTAAAATCGGAAATACCCTTGCTCAGACGTTTTGTTGAGGGTCGAAGGAGTCGCGCGCGCGTTGAATATCAAAGCCCCATACCTGAGATGGGGCCGCTTACTGTGCATATGTGTAATTAGACTGATATCCGTTCTTTCACAATAATTAGTGATCAAAGTTTGTTCGGAAAGAGCGTTTTTTTTGCGTTGACTTATTATAAGCCACTGCGGAGACTTCGTGGTTACTGTAGTCGGCTGCTGACCCTCAAGAGGCGGGTTCTAGTCCAACCGGAACGGTTGCATTTCGATGCCGCCGAAATTCTAGATGTCCGCGTACTGTGTGACATGAGCGCACGTCAAACAACCACTGATTGTCAAAATTATGCGATGCCCTCTACTACGACGTCTCTAAGAGCGTCAGTCGCCTTAAGACGTCAAGACCTTCTCACCCACACATTGACTAATTCAACAACCAACCAGCGTTTTAACAGCCTATTCAGTTGGTTTGAGTTTAAACGATATTGGAGGCTCTTGTGCTTAGATTTACGTTCCGTCAAGTACGCAATGATTCAGAGGATACCCGCTCCACATGACAACGTTACTAGGCAATTTTAAAACACGAACATGTAAAATGTAATATAAAGAACGCACTGCAGCGCATACGAGACTTATCGGGGCGTGCTAATAATCCAGAACAAAAGTGCGCGACTACAAAAAAGTATGCCCTAACAATTTTTTTTGTTTTAATATCGCACAAGCGTCGACTTTAAAGAGGCGGTAGTTTCTATAATGGACGAAAAGCATGAAGTTCTTCAATACAGTAATCGGCACACTCTGGCTTGTGAACCCACGAGTGCACAGATAAAGCAGATAATACGTGTGCATCTCAACGCAAACAGCGTAGCAGACGGCGCTCGCTCACGATTGATCTGAGCTTGCGCATCATGCGTAAAACTGCGCTCTTCCTCGTCTATATCAGTTCCAATTATTTCCAGGAGAGCATGAGAGCACCGTATTGTTGAATTGCAAGTTGGTACGCGTATACAAATCGGGCCCTTACAGCTGTACAACGTGCTGTACGGAGCGATACATGTACGACGTTCTGAAGTAATGAACTATATTATAGCGACTGATGCCATGTCTTTGATTGATATGTGGGGTTTAACGTCCCAAAACCATTATATGATTATGAGAGACGCCGTAGTGGAGGGCTCCGGAAATTTCGACCACCTGGGGTTCTTTAACGTGCACCCAAATCTGAGCACACCGGCCTACAACAGTTCCTTCTCCATCGGAAATGCAGCCGCCGCAGCCGGGATTTGATCCCGCAACCTACGGGTCAGCAGCAGAGTACCTTAGCCGCAAGACCACCGCGGCGGGGCCTGATGCCATGTCTACTGAATGAACCAGACCAAAATGTCCCGTATGTCATTGCGAAAATTGCGAATCTTTTTGTAGAGCTCGTGAAAAAGTATGTCACAAAAGTCGGGCATCGGTGCTTTCTGTCTGAATCACCAGGTCATCGAATGAAATTGGTGAACGGACAATAGGGCTCTGCTTTAACCACCTACAATTAGAGGTGCCAGTTTGTATCTGTGTGTCTTCCGGCTTTCGATCGATTATTTAGTGCCTGTTTATTTTACGTCTATTTGTTACGGTAACGTGCTTTGCCAATGAAATCTCGTCATTCGTTGCGACTTGCACGTTAAGCGCTATTTCTGCGCGCGACCCGCACTTGGTATCTTGCGAGCATCGGTGATGCTTGCGAAACAGACAAGTGCTCGTACCACGATGAGCACTTGTCACCACGAAGGGCAGAACTTGGCGCGCTCTCGGGGACAAGCAAATAATTTATCCGCCATGTTACTTTTCTCTCTTGATTGATCGATATGTGGGGTTTAACCTCCCAAAACCACCATATGATTATGAGAGACGCCATAGTGGAGGGCTCCGGAAATTTAGACCACCTGGGGTTCTTTAACGTGCACCCAAATCTGAGCACACGGGCCTACAACATTTCCGCCTCCATCGGAAATGCAGCCGCCGCATCCGGGATTCGAACCCGCGCCCTGCGGGTCAGCAGCCGAACTGTATAGCCCAGTACTTTTTTCCTTAGTACTGATAATTATTTTGTAGTCGTCTACTGTGACACTCAAAATACACATAATGTGGTTTTGACGTGCCAAACACTAAGAGACATGCACGTACAAACTGACTTATGAGTCAACTTATTTAGATTCATGTCGAGCCTCGATGAGTGATTTTCTGAGTACGGTTGTGGGAGGTAATTGAAAGGAAAACGATAAAGGCAGTGTTATAGGATAAGAAGACAGCAGAGCGGGTCAAGGAACAAGCGGGTGTTAAGGGCATCGTAATCCGGCTGATGATGATGATGAGCGGAGTTGAGAAATGTTCCGATGAATCTGAGGCCAAGTAGAGCGCTAAGCGCGAAATATATTTCTCGAGAGAGTTTGAGTGCACTCCATTTTTAATTTTGGGCGACCCATGCCAGCAGCCATTACTCAATTGCGCAGGTCGTACTTCATGTGCGCTATCGTCGACGGCGAAGAGATCGGCGCCAGGATGTCTTGCCCCATGCCCACTGTGTTCGACCAGCGCACCAAGAGTTGCCAGTTTCCCGACTTGGCAACCCCTTGCGAGCTGTCGGAGATGTACTTCGACGTTCCCAACTACGAACACATCAAGCTTACCCAGAGGCCGACAACGGTATTCAACCTTTCCCCTCGAGGCAACGTCCGATTGCCTAGCATGCCGGAGCATTCTGCGTATCGGAGTCCAGTTGGGAACAAGGTGAATCTCAGTACATACTCACTGGGTGACTTGAGTCAGCTCTGTTGACTGTCCCCGTGTTCATTTTGTTCAGATAAGGGTGTGACGCAGGTGATTGTGGTGAAAGCAGCTATAGAACTCAGCAGGAATTCTGTCTACTGTACTTTACATGTGGGGAAGGAAGATGGCAGCCCCTACAAAGTAATGAAGTTTAACAAGTAATTACTCCCCTAAACTTTTACTTGGAATGACATTGCTCATAAGCACTTGCCGAAAGTAATGTCATTACATTGCTGTGTCTTTTAAAATGTAATTCAGTTACTTCAGAATTACTTGGACAGAAGTGATTCAAGTGTACGACACATCAGCCAGTACTCATGTGCACCCGTTAGCAAAAGTATACGGACTGTGGATGCGTAAGCCGCAGTCGCCGTCGCGAGCCGTCTGATGTTGAAAGCATTTCGGATATCAATGTCCAAGTAAGTTCGAACGCTTCAGGATTGGTATTCGGAATAAATGGCATTTCTTAGCTTTCTTTCTTTTTAAGAGATTTTTTTTGTACGTTAAAGAAAGCGGAGATGCTGTATTATAGTGAAATGTAATCGGAACAGTAACGAGATATATTCTTAAAATTACTCGCTGAACGTAATATTAACTTACCGGCCCCAAATGTAATGAGTTACAAACCTAATTACAGCAAAAAGTAAGTTCAGTAGTTTGATCAATGTAAATTAGTTGCTGCCAAGACTGGGGTGCGTAATGTTAATTCCTTTTTACGCTCTTTAACATTTACCGCAAAGTAGCTCAAAACAAACAGATAAGAGAGGAACTGCCTTGCCCTATGTGATGCCGGTTGTTGCCAGACTGGAGATGCGAGACTGCTAAACTTGAATGACCTCCCGTTCATTCCTACAGTGTCATTTTATTCGCATTTGTTAGGGTGACTTGAAAACCAACTCTATTTTGCCGTGTCTAAACATTATTATTTTACTCTAATTTCACTAACAAATCAAACTTTCGTAAATTCGTAATGGTCTATTGGTCTGCCAGGTTGCCAAGTTCAAGGATGGTTCATGCAGGTTATAGAAAAAAAAATCAGACGCCACAGTAAATTTTATACTGTCATCTCCGCTGGCCTTCTATGCATAATTTATGTACATGCGCACATTGCCCTTAACGAATTTCTGTTTTTTTTTTTCACTTGCGATTTCTCTGTACCAGTATCTCTCTAGCTGTTCTCGTCGATGTGCGCCAGTTGCGTTCGCTGAGGCCTTGGCACTCGCCATCTGTTTAATCGTAGGGTTTTGCCCTTATCGTTTACGACACGGCTATTACCATTTGCGGGAACAAACAGCACTATCTCATTTCGCTGCACCCCACGTGGCGCTTTGTTGCGAACCGCGGTTGGACAGTTCTCTGTGTTATAGACATCCGGGAAACGCTACGAAGGCTAGACAGATTCGTCTGGTTGCTAGCATTCTCTATGCATACATAGTGTCTCGCTACACGAAATATGATTGCGTGGTGAAATAGAGTATATATAATACTTCTATTTTGTAAACGTATGCCTGAGCTATTGCCGTGAGGGCGTTGGTGGTCGTAAACTATCTAACACCGCTGTGCCCGCAGAGTGATAGCGGAGCAACACGATTGTGCGTACGTCCGGCGATCGCAGTTCACCGCTTGCTCTCGCGACTATAGGAGGTACTGCATCGCGTACTCTTGGCTAGCTGTCCTCGAGTGCGACTCTCACGCCTGAGTCGATGTAACGTTGCGTGCACGAGTTGTACGATAGGAGTTGTAATATGCTGCGTTTATTACGCGTAAAAGCATTGCACGTCACAAAGACTGCACATCTAAGCGCGGAAAGCGAGACTTTTATGAGTAGAACATACTTGCGCGTAGGTACCATGGACCACGTTGTGTTGGGACTATATGCATGACACAGACTCCACTTTTCGAGACCTGCCCTGTGCTTGTCGTCTATGATGTCCCGAATAATATATTTGCGGCAGAATTTTGGGGTAGTCGAAATAATAATAATAATAATAATAATAATAATAATAATAATAATAATAATAATAATAATAATAATAATAATAATAATAATAATAATAATAATAATAATAATAATAATAATAATAATAATAATAATAATAATAATAATAATAATAATAATAGCGATGATAATAACAATAGTGATGATAATAATGATGATGATGATGATGATGATAATGATAATAATTATAGTGATTATGATAATAATCACCCGTGCCTTTGTGTTTAAATGCTCAATAAAAACGCCACAGGCAGAAGGTTAATCTAGAGACCGCACTACGGTGTGCTCCGCCTTGATATCGTGGAGTTGGCAACTTCGTTCCAGGGTGTTGTCACCGCTTGCAGATTTTCACTTGCTTGATGCACTCGAATATAAAATATAACATCCCAGACTGAAAACGAGGATAATAGACATAAGTAATAAGTGCATGTGCGTGTTTTTTTGTGTATGCACTCGTTTGTGTGTTTTTTAATATGAATAACAAGCTGGCCGCCATTTCGTCTTTAGTAAAATATTTCCTTTGTCTTTTTTTCTTTCTCTTCGGCAACGCCATGCTACCGTCTTTGAAAAAAAAAAATGCGAAACCAGTTGCTCTCATCTGAAGTTATCTTGGCTGGACTCGGGGTGAGGCACATCATGGCGAAGCACGCTGTCACGGCTTCCAACGGCCACAGCGTCCCCGAGGCGCCTCCATCGAACTTCAGCTGCTGGGGTCGTCAGTACGGCTACTACGCCGACGTGGAACTGGACTGCGAGTACTTTCACGTGTGCACCGTCGTAGTGGGCGCCGAGGGACAGCGACTGTTCCTGAAGTACTCGTTTCATTGCGACGAGGGCACTTTCTTCGACCAGGAACAATTTGAGTGTCGCATCCCCGCGGAGGCGCTGCCGTGCTCGCAGGCTCAGGTTTACTACGACCGAAACTCCGCGTGGAACGAGTAAGGAAGAAGTGAGCCTGCAGACAACATTTCGATGACTGTTAACGAAAGAGGAAGTGTGAAAGGAATTCATCATTAAATGGCTACATTTACGTCAGTGAGGTAGGCCTTGATTGACGCAGTTAGAGAATAAAGCTAAGTCTTGTTTAAGAAACTCTGACGTTACTATCCGGGTGGCCTGCCGTAGTTACGGCGAAGACGTGGCTGTGAGCTGTTCACTGCTTGTCAAAGTCAGCGTCACTTCAGTTCGTCGACCATTATACTACTTTGTGGAACCAGCAAAAAAAAAAATCGTGTTTAACACGGGATCATTCACGCTATGTTCCTGCACACAATGTTCCTATACGCAATGTTCCGCAAGGATGTAGCACTGAATCCTAGTTAGCCCATATTAAAAAAAAAAGTTTCTGAAGCGAGAAGCTTCCGTAACAGCAATGCTAACACACCGGTCATCTCGCCAAAGTGCGTTTCCAAGAAAGCAGAGACTAAAAGTAAGAACCACTTTCCTCCTTGCACTGTTCTTCAGAGCACATGTGTTTGTGACAACTTACACCTGCATAGTCGTTTCATTTTATGCGCACTTCGTTTTCCTTAGATCTCAAGCCCATTTCTTCTTTTAAGTGATGGAATTCTCGCCCTAATTATGGTTCATTGTTGACAATTCACTCACCCTGAAAAAAAAAAAAGCTCATTGCTTTATTATTGTCAGTGTATTCTAGAAGGGGCTCGAGGTGCAATAAATGACACCAAGTGCATGCAAAACAAGCGCCCCGTTGCACTTATCGGTTTTTTGTATCGTGCTTCGAGCATCACAGCCATTTTTACGATGTGCGTACTAAAATTGGCGCCTACGCCAAACTTTACCGAGTCACGTATGTAAATAATGCTGCGGTTGCAAGGTCGCACGTGCCGAAGCCGCAGCCTTTACTATAGGACTTGCCCAAGCGGTGAAATCACCCAGGCGATGTGCACGTTTGATGAAATGCATCTATCCTTGCCTTATAACTTCGCTTTATTATCGCTTCTTCCGCCATGTTTCGCCGTGTGTGCTATCTGTTAGAACTGTTGATGGCAGGAATACAAATACATTCTCGTGTGCCGTGCGCACGACACACCAGAAAAGACGGGAAATGTAGACTCCTCACTTCAATACGCAGGCGAGGCTCTGATGTGATTTGCAAACGAATCGAATGCGCCTGTAGCCACCTGATAAGAACGTTAAGACCCCAGGATATCGACCGGTTCTGCTCTAGACGTTCTGCATAAACTTCTCATTTTGTTGGTCAACGAATCAATTTTCGGTGCCATCCTAAACTTAAAATATCCGTGCACCTTCGCGCCCTCAAGGATCAGAGGCTGTTCTTTTGCTTAGATTCGGAGCCGATAGATGTCGCGTGTAGCTCACGAAGTCAACGTCGATGCTTTCGCTTTTCTCAGGCTCGAAACACGCGCCTCGCGTGACTCGTTTGGTGACTCCCGAATAGATGGCACCGCTGTGCGGTCTCGTGGTTTTACTGCAGCAGTAATGAAACTCGAGCTTCCACTTGCTGAAAGCCAGGTGGGACGGCCTCGCCCTGCCACGCTCAGCTGTTCGGGTTCCTCAGCCTTATGCAGTTGCATATGCGCTTGTTTGTGCATGTAGTACCGTCTGTTGTATTGCCCCTTAAGCCTTTTCACACTGTCGTCCATGCGTGGTGCATCCTCTGACGTTGAATCGACATTCCAAACTCCAATGAAAATAAGTAGCAAAATATGAAGTGATGCGTTCGTCCACATGCTGTTCGCATATACGTACAGCGAGGGAGGGGGGTTGTCAAAAGTTCCCCGGGCCACTCTGCCTTAGGAATGCATGGGATAAAGGCCCGGCAACCTTTGACCAGCTCTGTTCGTGTGCGTGCAAACGTTATATTGTGATAATTGTTGGGGCTTTACGCCCCAAAACCACGATAATGTTAACAGCAAAGCGGAAAGGTATGGTCATTTTGACTAACTGGGGTTCTTTAACGTGTACCTCAATTCAAGTGCACGGGCCTCTAACAGTATTGTCCCAACTGAAAATGTGGCCGCTATGGTCCCTTAATGACACGACGCCTAATGACACGGACCAACAGCCAGCCCTAGCAAAATAGCTGTGATTTATAGGGCGTGCGCAGGGTGCCACATCAGGGGGGGGGGGGGGCGAGGTTTATCGCAGTGCCCCCCACCCCGCTATACTGCTCCCCCCTCTTGCTCCCGCACGCCTAAGCTATAGTTTTGCAACGCCAAGCATTTGCATTTCATTCAAGTTCTGGCGGTATTATGACGTCCTACGTAATGTTTCTTCTCATGTTCCATGACTTTGTTTGCATGTGACCGTGTTCAGAAGTGACGGGACTGCATTCCTTGAGATTTAGAAACACGCATGAGCAGCAGCAGTCAACGACGTCAGCTCGGTACTGCGGCGATTCACTTGATAGGCGTGCGCCACGCAGCATGTGCTGGCAGCTTAAACGCAAGACAGTTGCTACGCGAGTGTGCATTAGAAACAGAAGACGATGGCTCGGTAGGCGAGCTGAGGCTCAAGGAGAGACGAGTGCTGTAGCGTAAAGAAGATCATAGTTTTGTTTAGTGTTCAGCCATCATAACTATGGTTTAACAACTTAGGAAAAAAACTACTATTAACGCCGACACCTCAAAAAGATTATGAGCTGTTGGGAATGCTGTTGAAAGCACATTTCTTTTTTTACTTTCATTTAAACTGCCACCCTTTTTTCTGAATGGGCAGTGCGAAGTGAGCGGCAACATTCGAAATACATAATTGACTGCGAATTTGCAAACTTAGTGGGTCGAAAACGTAGAGTGAAAGCAAGATAGACACACAAATAGGTTGAAGCAGCGTTTTTTTTTTTTTTATTCACTGCTCACTGTGCTCTTCCTCATTATTCAACAACTAAAGTCAAAAGCTCAGCCCTTAGTATCATAGTGCGCTCAGATATCTCGTGCTTCTTTGTAGGAAATACCTAAACTATTGCTGTACATGTTCTTAAGCTGGCCGAAAAGCCGCTAGATATATTAAATAGATGGGAATTCATTTTATGCTGGAAATAATAAATAAGTGATGTTGGCACGTCTGTGAAAAAATAGTGGAACCTATGTGCATAGCTTTAGGCGATTTATACGTGACCAACGCGAGGTTGTATTCCAAAAATTGTGCATCGTAACGAGCGCCAACTTAACATGTTAATTAACAAGCACCAACTGGCCCCAAATATCTGCGTTGAATAGTCTATTCCAGAATAGTACGTTTTAGATAAATTAGGCGATCGTCAGCAAAGGTACGTATATGTAGATGTAGATCCTAAACTTGTATATTTGTATATACGTATATTTGTTTGCGATCCACTTCCCTTTATTCTTTTAACGCGAGCTTGTGCGTTGGAAAAAAAAAGATATGCGCCAACAGAACCTGCTGAAAGATAATAACGTTTCAAAGTAACGTGCATTCACCGAGACAACCCGGGTCGATCCTCTTTTTATTTTCAGTCAATTTATTAGCACTTGCACTCCCCCCTCCACCTCCCACCAACTGGATTCGACCCCCTTTGAGCAAGCGACGATCTTATGTGATGGTTAAAACGTTGAAGGCTGCCGACAGTGACTACGTGTCAAATATTTACTCACGCTGGTTCTTGTTCTCAGTGAAGGACAAAACACGAAGGCAATGAGATCATATGCGCTTAAGCTTTTGACACAAAGTTTGATCGTATATCGGATTAAATCTGCCATTGCAATTGGACGTGTGTGCCGAGGTCTGAATATGAAGGGACACGAGATGAGGCCACTGGCTTGAATTTCTTTCGCTTGAAAAACCATGCTGTAATGTCGTTTTATGTAACTCCATCATTATGATGGCGACACCACTAATTTGGGCATTAGGTGACGTCGTCACAGTGGCTGCTCTGACCACGTGACTCGCTGCATCGTTTGTGTTGACGATGAACTCGGTGGCTGCGATGGAGGAGGAGGGAGAAAGGAAGGACACTTTTTCGCGTTTGATGAGTCATTTAGAACTATTGGCATTTATTTATTTATTTATTTATTTATTTATTCATTTTACCTGCAGCGCCAACAAGGCATTACAGCAGGGGGGTATATGCAAATACATGAATACGATTCATCATATGGGAAAAAAAAGAAAAGGAAAAAGAGAACTGACTTGAGAATAAGTGGTACAAATCTGCACAATAGCGCATCAAATGTACAAGCAGTGCCACAATGAAAAATTTACATGTGCGACAAAAACGTGTGAAACAGAGCATCAGATGTACAATTAACAATATTACCTGGTAGTTTATTCCAGGCCTCAATGGAATGGGGAAAGAAAGAACCCTTGTACACATCAGTACGGCAATCAATTTCACGAATTTTCCATTCATGGTTGCGTCGCTTAGATACAAAGTGCGGGGTCAGTAAGAAAATTTTAGGATCAAGACCAGTCTTATTGAAATAAATACGATATAGTAGTTCAAGTTTGTGATGCAACCGACGTTTACTTAGTGTTTCCCAGCTCAACTCTGATTTAAGTAATGTAATGCTAGTGCGAAAACTATAATTTTTAGTTACAAATTGGGCGGTGCGGTTCTGGACGCGTTCTAGCAGTGTACATAAATTTTCGAATTGTGGGTCCCACATGGCGCAGGCGTACTCCGTAATAGATCTTATGTTGGTGAAATATAAAAGTTCTTTAACTTTTGGAGGAGCATCACTGAAGTTGCGTTTTAGAAAGTTGAGCATGCGGGAAGCAGAAAAGGACACGTGTTCAACCTGACGTTTCCAGGTGAGGTTATGCCATGTGTTGGCATAACATGCTGCTGTTAACTACAGTACAACTATATTTAGTGTCGTTAACGTGATGTGCGGACAACAACTGCCTTGTATTTAAATTCAGGCGGCATTGCTATAGCTCGTTTACGGCCGTAGCAGGGTCAAAATACAGAGGCTATTTCTGTGCGATAAGGTGCCGTACGATTTTATGGGGGGCGATGACCGACTGATTAGAGGGAGAAGTGGCGTCCTTGCCTGTCTGATGCACTTGTCCTTGCATTTTTCCTATCCAGCTTCTGGTTGTGTTGCGCTAACGTTCCACCATGACATGGAACCATGCCAATTCACTCA